ACAATTCGTAACAAATTATTTAAGTGGTTTAACATTGACACACTGAGGTTTCTTTGATAAACAACGATCACGTTTAAAAGCTTAAAAATGAGAGCTCCTTAGAATATATATTTTTTTTTTTATTATTTTAAAAACTAAAAAGCCACTTAAGAGTCACAGCACAGTTGTGTACTAAAACTTTTATCAACTCTTAGAACCCACAAAATTACTTCAAAGATGCAACTAAAATTAAACTTACTGTTGGTATCGAATCTATTTAAAAAATATATTCGCTATTATCCTTCGAATACTAGCAACATTATAAAAAGGCATTTAGAGAGTTGCATCTCTGATTTAAAACTTTCCTTTTGATATGTTCGTTAAGAAATGGTTAAATGCATTCTAATTCGAATAAAAAAAAATTAAGATCTTCTATTTTCGTCAGTCTTGTCTTTCAACTAGAGTTTGTTAACGACAAATGGAAATAAGAGACTAGATGAATAAAAAACGAGCACCAACTGATATTTACAACAGCTGCCAAAAATAGTCCCTATCCTCAAACGAAACGAAAAATCACAGAAATGTGTTTATATCAGATAGAGAACTATCTTTTGGAATATAAATTATTGATGAGTGCTCCATATTCGATGAGTTGCTACAATGATATTAATTAGTATTATTAAGCAAAAAAAAATTGGTTAAGTAAAACAAATTTATAAAAAAATTTAGTTATTCACTGGATTTGAGCAAAAAAAGTAGTTTAAAGTATATAAATATTTAATTTTATGTAATATTTAATGCAATGGAACGTTTTTCAAAATCTAATAACTATAAATTACAGGATATACTAAAAATCAATGACGGATTTTATTAAAAGTTTGTAAAAATAACAAACAGATTATGATCTTTCTTCTTCTTATACCTGTAGTTATCTGGAAACAGTAATAATTGTAATGTTAGATAATAAAAGTTCAAACTAACATATTTCAATTTTTTTACCTTTTTTTCTTTCTTTCTTTCTCACCCTATATAATAAAAGAATTTTTAATGTCATCTACTAGTTAATTATGACAGTTTTCACCATAATTCAAATAAAAAACTTTTCATAAATAACAAATTGTAGCTATATACTTTATTATACAGAGCGACTCTAAAATTTCATATCAGATACTAGAATAAAAATAATGGTGTCCCATTTAAAATAAAAAAGTTTGACTGTCAAAATATTTTATCTTATTCTTATCAACTTTTAACAAAATTCGTTCAATATAGTTTCACCCTGTCGCCTGTCACTTGTGTAAGAACAATTTTTAAAATATTCAGAACATATTTAATATATTTTTCATGTATTATATGAAAAACGTGTCCATTTATGTGGAACAAGCTTTAAAAGATATTTTTTATTTTCCATTAAACATTAACAACTCAAAAATAATAATTTTATAGTACTTATAATTTTGAAAATCATTGTAACAGCTCATATTAATTCAAAGAGTGTCAACATAACTGTCTCCATACAGTTCTATTGGAACCACTCCAAAAATCGAAAAAAATGCTAAAAATAAAAATTATAACCAGCTATTAAGAACAAATTTTATTTGTATCATATAACTATGTGAGTGGGAGCTATATTTTTCATTTTTAACAAAAAAAAAAAACCTAAATTAAACTTTCCATTTGTAGGTACATTACATAAATATATATATTTTGGTATGTATATCAAAAGGAAACTTCTCTTATTTAGTAATAGAAAAATCGTTTTTTTTTGTTTTAAATTTATGAACACCATGATAAAATGATGTGATTGTAAAGTTCTTTCCGGGTTCCATAGTCTGTTCCCCCTTAAGAACGCTAATCACAGTTTAGGACTAATAATATTGAAAGAAAGTCTACAACTAACATATATAGTACACATAAACACCAACATTTAATCAGAAATAGTGATCACGAGTTATTTGCAAAACAAAGAGGACGAAAACGCCTTTCAACTTAACCTACAATTGTCGAATTTAAATTAGTTGCTCTATCGAGACGTTAATTCCTCTTTGAAATGAAAATGTTCAATGATTTGGCAACTTTTCGACATGGCTTACAAATTCCAGAGAGTTATTTACTTGAAAGCGCGTACACAAACTTCTGATATGTTTTCAAAATATAATTGACAATGTATTTTTTGTTGTTGTTATAAAATAATAAAATACCTGCAATGAATGCCCTTAAGTTGGAATTGAAAATAGGAGCTCTACGTGTTAGTCCAATCAAATTAAAACTTTTTAGAGAAAAAACAAATCGTTAATAGGATTTTAGTAAGTGTAAATTATAGGGGGGATTATAATAAGTATTAAGTATTAAAAAAATGCAATTGGGGTTTTAAGGGGTTGAAATTTTGTAAGGTTGAAGTTTTAGGGGATTGAAGTAAATGATGGTCATAAATTTTGAAAATGAAATATTTGTTTTATCATTGGAAACGCTTGTGAAAGAATCATTAAAATAAAAGAATTGCATAATTCAATTTTATTTCAATTTAAAATTTTGTAAGTCATAAACTAATAATTCAAAATCCATGTTTTAATACATTTGCGATTTTTTTTTATTTGATTTTATTAAAAACTACATCTTAAAACGAAAAAAATGAAAGAACTTTGTAAGATAATTTTTCACTGTAGAATTTCACCGAATTTCATCAGAATTAAATTATAAAATATGAGATATAAACAAGTATTAGAAGTAATTTTAAAAACAGACTTCAAAATCGTGCAGATACCATCACCACATCTTAACCAAATTTATATGGGACCACCCCTGAGGTATCCCCTTACTAACAAAAAAAAGAATTATTGAAATCGGATAATGTGGCAATAAATTATCGCGATATATATGAAAAATTAAAAATTTGAGAACCCAATTATTAAATTTTGACAAAAATTTATATGGAACTACCCCTGAAGTACCCCCTCACTAACAAAAAAAAGCATCATAAAATCTGACAAGGTAATCAAGAATTATCGCTAAATATATATATATAAAAAAATAAAAAATTTGAGGCTTTTTTCATGGACTTGATTATTAAATTTTAACCAATTTGTATGGGATCACCCCTAAAGTACCAAAAAAAGAATTATTGAAATCGGACACCGTGTTAAAGAATTATCGCTGAAAGTACATAAAAAAAATAAAAAATATATACCGACGAATTGAGAACCTCCTCCTTTTGTTGAAGTCTGTTAAAAATAAAAAAAAATTGAAATAACTTTTACATTCTTATTAAAAACTTTAAGGTCATGTTATAACGGGACCTCTACAAATGTAGAACTTTCGGCAGAAATCGCAATAATAGTTTTTACCTCTTTTCAACCCCCTAAAATTTTACTTTAACCCCCCAAGTTACAATTATATTATTTTTTTACTTATTAAAAGCCCCTCTACCATTTAGTTTAATTTTATTTCTCTCATTCAAAATGAATTAATTCAACTGGTCTACGTATAATTATTACATTAACAGAAGAATATTTGATTGATACCGTCATATAAATTGTTTCAATAACCCAAACGAATTTGCAAGCCGTAAACGTTACTGCCTTAATTTAATAATCTGTATAGTAATATATAATTATAGGCTATTTAAATTTTTTTCAGTTAGTACTCATTTTATTTAAGTATAGTAGAGTGTGCAGTCTAACACTGATTGTGTGGTGTTACCGTTACGGTCGCTCATTTTTAGTTTTGCGTAACCGCACTTTATAACAATATTACATATAAAGATTTTTTTTTTTTGTATGTGTAATTCTACATGATATATAAGGAATCAGAGATCACAGGTTATGTGGGTTTAACAATTTTTTTTTCTTATAATCACGACAAACATTTTGAAAGAAACTCTTATCCGAATGAAACTCTGTTAACAAGAAAAATAATATCACTCGCATGCATGTGATGAGATGATGCAACGTAAATGTAAGGCAGCAATAGTAATGGCGTTATTCAATCGAAAATAATGTTATTTGAGTGTATACTGTTATTTATTGTCTTATTTATTACTTTAAATTCGTTTTTCATTAACAAAAAAGTAATTAGAAATGATTTTATTAATTCTTATCAAATGAATAATGAAACGACACAAGTATTAGTGGCAATACATTTCGAAAATTACTTTGTTAGGCGAATAAAACAAAATAAGCAGTAAACAAAATTTTTTGATCGGTATTTTTGTTGCCATATATACTTCTGCCTTACAGAGAAACAATATAATTTATTTAGGTACCTTAAATGATGAAATAACATTTATATACTAACCATAATATACAGGAAAATATCTTATAGGATAGAACAAATTTTTACAGTACTTAAAATAGTGAACTTATAATGAGTTTGGTCACATATATTAATTCATATTATATACCTATGCAATTAATTATATAATCTTGTTGATTGAGACTAGCTGGATTTCTTCATGAATGTCACATTAAGTGCGTTAATGAATTTAATTGAGCGTGATATCAATGGAATACTATAAAACGCCATGCAGTCCGTATTGTTTTCTTTTTTCAAATCAAAAAATTACAATATCTTATATTCAGTAAATGTCAAATATACCGTTTTTTTTTTTATTTGGGGAAAACAAACATACACCAAATAAACTAATGGCAAAACTGTAAATAGAAAAAAATTAGTAAACTCTTAATAATTTTAAATCGATAATTAATAGTGTACATTTGCGGAAATTATTATATAAATAACTGAAAAAATAAACAAAAAAAAAACATACCTTTAAAACAACAACTCTTAAATCACCATAAAAATTAAAAATAGAAATACATTTACAAATAACAATAAAAAAGATTGTTAAATAATACAATAAATATCAAAATTTCTTAAGACAATCAATCATTAAATTTAATATTAATATTATAAAACATTAAAAACATTTAATAAAATTTATCAGCGGGAAAGCGTAGAGATATCAACACTTGTATAATTATGATGGAATCATTTTGGTTTCAACCTAGTTTACATGGACTCACCACCTAACAGGTCATTGGGAAGAAAGGAATTTAGACTAGATGGGGTACCGCGCGCGGGATCCGTGTTATCCAAAGGTGAAGCTGCCCACAGATTGGTGCTGGATGGATTATTCGACCAGCCGGTGCTCCACGTATCGGCTCCGGTAGGCTGTTTGCTCGAGCCTCTCCAGGCGCCCGAAGAACCACTTTGTTGGCTAGCTACTTGCTGTAGCAGGGTATTCGCGTCCCAATCGGTAGGATTTTCTGCTAATATTGTCGTGTTGCCTAGTACACAGTTATTTAAAGTGGTCTGAGCCTGCAAGTCAAACATTTTGTTGAATGAAACTATCAATCATTTCAATTATTAAAAATTAACGCTTCAATTCAAAACAAGTTGTTGAAATAAATTCAATTCACTTACTTTAATAGCTTCTTCGCGAGATGAGTATTTGGCAAGTGCAAAACCTTGGTGTAGATAAAGATGAAAACTTAGTAATGGACCATGTTGCAAGCATAATGTGCGTAAAGTAGAACCATCAATCTAAATAGAAGAAAATAAGTTATAACTACTAGTAATTATAAAAAACAGACTTCAAAATCGTGTAGATGCCATTACAAATTGAATTTTCTTATTTTATCACAGATACCATTATCAAATTTTGACTAAATATATATTGGATCACCTCTGATGTACAAAAAAAGAATCATAAACATCATAAAGAGTATTAAAGAATTATCGCTGAAAATACATAAAAAAATTAAAGAGTTTTGATGATTTTCTTATGGACGCCATTAATAGATCTGGACGAAATCGAACAACGTGGTGAAAAATTATCGATGAACATACATAAAAAAATATATTTCAACGAATTGAGAACATCCTCAGTTAAAAATGTTTAAGATCAACAATATTTCGACGATGTTTAAAATTAATTCTTACCTGAGCTGTCAAATTTCTCAACAACAGCCATTGAGAGGATCCACCCCAATTTCCAGAACTCCTTTGGCCACCGCCGGCACCCCAAGGCATGGAATTTACGCCGGACCAACCGTTCGCTATGACACCGGCGCTTCCCTTCGCCGATAAACCCGGAGGAGGACCTCTGGAGGCTTTCGGAGCTCCCCAAAGCTCGGACGTTACAGCCGTCGTGGGATTCAGGTCACCTAGAGAGGCTTTGGATGTTGGCAATTTTCCAGGTGGACTGTAATTATTTCTTATATACACGTTATTTGAGATATCTGTTCTATGTCGATAAAAATCAATAGAAACTATATAGCATTTAAGATATTGCTTCATAAAGTTTTTTGAGAAACATTAAAAGCAAACAATACCTACACAAGAAGTGAATCTAAATGAGCGAATAGTGGACAAAAAAAAACTACAATTTACTTTTTTTTTACTAATTTATAATAAAGTGTATATTACTACTTCATAATTAACGTGATATATACGAAAACTCACTGAGATTTTCCTCTCGAGTAGATATTCTTTGTTAAAACTACATTAATAGTTACCTAGTAAATGCACTTGATGTAGCAGTGCCAGATGGATTGAAACTCCAAGTAGACGAACTGAGACTTAAAGGTTGAATATCAGTAGCGGGGGGACTTTTGCTGGGAATCATATTGAATAATTCATTGTCTTTGATTGTTGCTACAGACAGAGGAGAGCGCACCACTGAACCAGGCGTAATACTGGGGTCATCTTCGATTGACTTTATTTGATTGCCCTAAAAAATGATAAATATTATTGCATTTTCATTGTTTTAAAATAACCTAAGAATATTTTTTAATATTCTAATATCAATGTTAAACATGTTTTAAGTTATTATGTAATTTATTTAATTAATGTGTTCACTAAGTCTTCTACTTTTAATGGACTAAATAAATTATTTATTGTTTTGGCCTTTACTTGATGAAAATCCATTTTATCTTGAATAAGTAAAACCAAACTTGGTAGATTTTCACAAAACTTTTATTTAAAAAAAAAATTAAAATTAAAAACACTATATACATGACATGTTTAACAAAACAAAGTAATTAAGAAAATACATCAATAATGTAACAAAATAAACTGACTATTTAAAATAAATAAGGGTGCTTAAGTAATTATGATATCAATCAGATAACAATAAGATAGTAACATTACCGGGATTATCTCACAGAAAACTAGGAAAGAGATTTAATGAGGGTGAGTTATTAATATCTAATTGATCATTTAGTAGGTTATCTGAATTTTTAAATCTATTTATTTCAACCATTTAGAAACACTTGAAATAAATAGATTTAAAAATTCAGATAATCTACTAAATGATCAATTAGATATTAATAACTCACCCTCATTAAATCTCTTTCCTAGTTTTCTGTGAGATAATCCCGGTAATGTTACTATCTTATTGTTATCTGATTGATATCATAATTACTTAAGCACCCTTATTTATTTTAAATAGTCAGTTTATTTTGTTACATTATTGATGTATTTTCTTAATTACTTTGTTTTGTTAAATTACTTGGCATATATATTGGACACCGAATTGTAAATTAGTCACATTTGAAAAAGAAGTTGTACTTCGAAACATGTCATGTATATAGCGTTTTTAATTTTTATTTTTTTAAAATAAAAGTTTTGTGAAAATCTACCAAATTTGGTTTTACTTATTCAAGACTAAATAAATGATTCTCATTGATATTAATTTACCTTCCAGGGCTTTCCAGGTTCAAATTCAGGTACAAGATCAGTCAAGGAAGGTTGAGTGGTGGTCGACCACTGTGCGTCTTTTACATCATTCGAGTTATCATTGGTTGATGAGTCAGGCCAACCAGTGTCTCCTGTTCGTCCAGTAGACCAAGGTCTAAAAAAAAATGGTAAAATAAAAAATGCCCTCATGGAAATAATAAAAAAAATACTTACCCATCTGTCGAATTCAGGACAAGAGGATTCATATTAGGCGAGGTATTTATAGGTTTAGAAGATGAACCGGGTGCCCTACTGAATTCCCCTCCTTCATCTTTATCTTTGTTTATCCATTGTGTAAGTCGTGATTGTTGTTGATTCTGTAAAAAGAATGGAAAAGTAATAAATCTACTTTTAATTTTATTGTTATATCAATAATATTATTATGTATTTATTAAATTCACTTTATCACCCTGTAGAAGAAAAACTGGAACGATTACAGGAAAGTTATATGTATTTAGCTTTTCTTCATAATTAGTTATTATAAAAAAAAAATACTGCAAAAATAAATAATTATAATTGCATAAGTTGATAAAAAATGCTATGTAATAGCTTTATCGCGGCCGTCCCCGAGTGACACGGTATTATATTTTTTGTGATAAATGTAAGAAAAAAATCTATTACTTTATTTTCGTAATATGTTGCAATGATTCTGTAATTGACATTTGATTGTAATATTTTTTGTCTTTAATGTGGATTACTCCTATATATAAATAAATAAATATTGTAGTACCAAATATTTACTTCAAGTTTAAATTAACCAGTTGTTTATTAAAAAAAAATTATAATCAATGCAATTGAAAAATATCGACTTACCAACTGAGGATCTTTATTAATGCCCAATTCGGCAAAGTTGCTCGGTAACGTATTTATCGAGTCATGTATCGGAGGTTTAAAGTCGTAAGCACCCATTCCACTTTGTTGGTGTTGTTGCTTGACGTACGTTGCTTGTTGAGCGGCAATTTGATTCTAAAATATTGACAGACAAACAAATCAAATCTCAAAGCCAATTAAAATTAATTTTATTCTAATTTTGATAACACTTACTTGCAAATTGGTAATGGATTGTTTAGTTTTTGTAATGAGAACGGAGAATTGCATGAAAGTATTATTTGGTTTTCCGCTGATAGAAGGAGTACTGGCTATGGACTGTTGAGATATGAGCTGCTGTAAAGTCTTTATCTGTTGTAAAAGTTGATTAAGAAGTACCAAAGTTTGTGGCGCCAGAGGTTGATTAAGAATCTAAAACAATTTTAAATATGTGAAAAATGTTTAGTAACTGTCAAATCTAAATAATTTTGCATTATTATAATCTGCAAAGACATTATTTAAACCAAATATTGTTCGATAATTTTAGATTGCACTCCTGATTTTAGTAGCCTCTAGATGGCGCATGTAACTTTTCAGTATTTAATATCCTATAAACTGTGTGAATTTTGCTATATTAAAAACTATCAAATTTACTCTTGGGGGATTTTAGGAAAAGGAGGAATGTAGTAAAACTAGCAATATTGTGTACTTTATTTTTGTAATCTATAAATAGCTCACCTGGTGATTGAGATATCCCGCTTGAACTGCCATCTGTATTTGCTGCACCAACATTCTGAGTTGTTGTGTCGAGGGCTGAGATTGAGGTTGGATATTTCTACCCGCATTTCCCGAAGCTCCGCCAAATCCTTGAGATCCAGCCCCTTGAGTCAATAATTTTTGTACGACCGCCGGGGCAATGTTATTAATGAGAGAATTATTCGGTCCCGAATTACCCATATTATTCAGGAGATTAGGAGCGTTATTACCGGGCGGAAAACCGGTTAACTGACTACCGGGTCCGGTCGGGAATCTTTGACCGAACGGCGGGTGTTCGTAATGGTCTTCGTGGCGAGCGCCCCATCCTCCTGTATCACGATTATTGCGCAAAGGCGTAAGTAAGTCTAGAGCCTCGTCCATGTTCATTCCGCGCATGCGTAGAGCGTTTTCGACGTCTTCTTTCTGCAAAGCGTTTGCAACGTTCAATAATGTGTGTAGATCAACCACAACCAAAATTTGGGAACGAAAATGAAACTAAAATAACGATTGCTGACGTCTCGCAATATTATAAATGTAGTTCATATTCCAAATTTTTCTTTGTCAATTAAAGCTGCAATAATGGCGGAAAATAGTGCATCAACCACCACAAAGACAGTTATTGAAAAAAGTAAAAAGTTTGACTCAGCTGAAATTGCAACAATGAGAGTTGCATAAACCAAATTGTGTCTTTTTTACCTAAGTCACTGGCGTAAAACGAACATTTATTTATTTGTTAGTTTTTGGAATTGTTTATTTGTAAAATAGTTTTGATTTTCAACAATTTTTAAGACGTTTATAAGTAACTGTTGTGTGTTTTATTTAATCTAAAACTGAACCTTCTACAAAATTTATTGTTTCTTCTTGATAATAGTGAATTTAAGGTACAAATATAAAATTTTTACTTTATCAACTTCTCTTGTACACAGACGATCTTCAAAATAATTTGAATCTTACAGTTTCAGAAAAAGAACATCAATATTCAATAAATTATTAATTCTAGTACATTTACCTTGTGTCCCATGTCTACTAGCATTCTAAATTGCTTCGAATTCCACACCATTTCCTTGGTCAATTGCGGCTTGTTCTGTTGTTTATGGCTCCAATCGGATTCGTCCCATAACGGATCGGGCATTTTCTGTTTGGGCCAAGAACAGGGCTCGTCCCATGCAGCTCCGGGTCCGCCGCCGTGGTCTTCCCACGAACCGTTTCGACCATGTCCGCCCCACATCGACCCGTCGGGTTTCATACGCGATTGGGTCATACCGGGAGGACCATTACCATTACCACCGCGACCCATACTTGCCCCTGTGGGCAGATCTTTCCAGTGAGAGCCTAGTGTGCAAATATAATGTAAGTGTTTCGAGTAATGGTTTCATAAAATTACGATTTACTATTATCTGTTATAATAAAAAGATAATGTTAAACATGATAATCATAAATTTTATTAGAACTGTGTCAATTTGAAAATAAATGGACAAATTCCGTTACCTTGTTGGGGATTTCCCCACAAAGAGGTTCCGTCATCGTAATTGGGAACGTTGCGTCTTTGAGTCGGCGGCGATGGTTCTTCCCAACCAGCTCCGTTACCGGGCGGTACGGGCATTTTGTTGTGATGGTGTATTGTTTGAGAAGTTGGGTGAGGTGTGCTTTGTCCCCAAAAAGCTTCAGCACCTGCTCCATTCAGTCTTCCTGTTATTCCTATAAGGAACAAATATATGTATAACAAAATTGATTCGTATATTTTACATTTATTTTCATTTCCGATATAAAATTTTCAGATTACTAGGCCTTATAACTTATAATATTGAAGAAAAATCTGAAAAGTATACAAATACTAAGAGTTTTCTCTCAGTGTTATAAATAATTTTTGAATTTAACAATTTTGAAACAGTATTCACATCAAAGGATGTTGATAGTTTTTTATAAACACTCTTCTCTTCTCTTATACTTTAATAAACATTTCTATATTCATAATTAATGAGTATCACTCTAAAATTTCTTCTTTGACAGAAATTATTACATAAAAATAATAGTTTGTGCAACAAAAGTGGATATGATGACCATATAGCACAAGGACAAAGTTTGAGTAAAAACTATACTAATTGTTTTGACCTAGCAATAGATCCACGAAAGAATTTTCCAAAAACGATCAAAATCAACAAAAAAAAAATACATACCCTCCTTTGTTAAATTTCAAAAGTATTCATGTGGGCGTAGAAAAAATATATTTCTTATTTACCTCTGGGGTCTCCTCTCATATCACTGCCAGGCATTGGCCTCATCTGTTCTCTGGGATCTAAAATTCTTATCGTTTCAGAATTTCCTGGTCTCATATCTCTCATTTCAGGGCGAATATCTCTAATATCTCGAGGATCCATAGCAGCTTGTCGAGGATCAGATGCACGAGGATCTCCCCAACCTGAGTTGTTCGTACCTGGGCCCCAATCGTTTTCTTTTTTAGGACCTAATATAGAAATGGGAGCGTGATTTAAACTTACGAAACATAAACTATTAACATGACATGAATTTAATTTAGAAATTGCAAATATTTATGTACTATGTATTTTTTATTTTGTTTTATTTTATTTATTTTTATTTACATTTATTTATAATTTCACTTACCACCCCACATTGTTCCATTATTGGTATTGTTACTAGCTCCTCCCCATTGCTGTTGCTGCTGCTGTTGTTGTTGTTGTTGCTGCTGCTGTTGTTGCTGCTGTTGATTAGAAGGTACTCCAGTCCAAACATTAGAACTATCTGCGTCGTCATCTTCGCCCCAAGTGCCTCCTATATTCGTAGACGGAGTATGACCCCACGGGGTTTTTTGTTGAGGTTGCGGAGGAGGTTGTCCTCCATTTCGAAGATTCGCCTCCCACAATTCGGTACCATTGTTGACTGCGGGTTTCCAAGGAGGCGGACCACCGGAGCTGTCCATTTTAATCGGGGGTTCAGGGCTACTGGGTATATCCCAGTTAGTGTCTTGATTGACATGTTGCTAAAGAAGAATTTTATTTAGAAACTCTACAAGATCAAATAGTTTTTATATTTTTAATTATTTATGTCAAAATAATCTCGAAATTATTTAAATGACTTAAAATATTCATTTCCTAAAAAAAATTATTATATACCCACTTTGCTTATTAATTATTTGAAAATACATACCCCACCCCAGCCATCTTGACTGAAGATAGCTTCTCTCATACTATTGAGTTGTTCTAATTGCTGTTTGGTATTGTTGCTTGTTACATTATTGTTTGGTGGATTAGCAACAGTACTAGGAGGTTGATTAGTTGGTGGTATTGCATTGTTATTAACAGGTTTTGATCCAGGCTGACCCCAACCAGTGTTATTTGGCTGTGAAGTAGGTGGCTGTTGACCATTGGTTTTGTTTGCTTTAAAACCAAAACAAAAATCAATATAAAATACTACAGTGAAGACAAAATTTATATATTTGGACAATAGAAAACAAAAATTATGATTTAAAAATACTTTATCAAAAGAAAAAAAAAATTGGGTGTACCCCAGGGAAGAGTGTAATGGGTCCATGATGGTTCCTTCTATACATTTATATTTCTTATATTGCAGGTGGTTGCTCCATGCATTTGATTGTTGTATACAGTATGTCCCCCTAAGTTGGAATCATATGGAAAACTTTTTTATTATTAATTTCAGAAAAAAAAAGTTATTCTTCATAAAAAGTTCTGCATTATCTAAAACCTAGAATACAGTCATCAAATATTAAATTTTTTTAGTGCTAAACGAGATTTCTCAAAAAATATGAGTTTCACTGAAGAGTAAAGTACCTTTATTCTTTATACGACTTTTAAAATTTGATATTTGATGGTTGTATTTTATGTTTTAGGCCATTCTTTACTTTTTATAAAGAACAACTTTTTTTTCTAAAATTAGTAATAAAAAAGCTTTCCTATGTCTACGTAAATTGGCGGCATTTGTTTTTTATTATTAATATTGAGAAAAAAGTTATTCTTTATAAAAAGTCGAACATAATCTAAAACCTAAAATACATCCATCAGATATCAAATTTTATCAGTCGTATAAAGAATAAAGGTACTTTACTCTTGAGTAAAACTCATATTTTTTGACAAACCTCGTATTTCACTGAAAAAATTTGATATTTGATGAATGTATTCTAGGTTTTAGATAATGCAGAACTTTTTATGAAGAATAACTTTTTTTCCTAAAATTAATAATAAAAAAGTTTTCCATATGATTTCAACTTAGAGGGACATACTGTATATTGATTTACAGCAGTATCCAAATTTAATCAACTTGGTATTTGTACTTCTGCATTGCCAGTGATGGTGTGTTATCTCAAATCCACTTTGCTAAAGGGTCTCCATTTGACCCTTAAATTTTATACCTAGAGTTAGGTAGAATTACAAAACACTTCTTAAAACATATTGCTTATTGAAACTTTTAAACATAATATAAAGTAATGTAAACATCTTTAGTTATGTTAAATATACATAATACTTTTTCATAAATAACATAGTTAAATATATTAAAATTATAAGATAAAAGCTCATAAAAGCGGATTGTGAATGTTATCATATTAAATTTTTAGTTAACATACCATTTTATTATACATAATTATTCAACATTTAATTATCACGTCGTTATCTTATTTATTTTTTTTTTAACGAAATTTTTTAGACAAGATATCAAATCAAAACTACTTAATAAATATGTTTCAATGTGTTAATAATAAATATTTGCACGTAAAATAATTATATTTATAATTAAATAATTGGCTAAAATTAAGTAAATAAAAAATAACGATTAAAAGCTATTTTTATTAAAAAAAAAATTGTATGTACATAAAAAAACTAAAGAAGTTTAAACTGCTCATTTTGACTACCTTCATAATGATTTAATAAAGCAAAAGACTCATAAATACTTTCTAAAAATTTACTGATAGCACATCAATTAAAAACCAATTAAAAATAAATTTCAAACATTAGATATTTAAAAATAATATTTTTGTAAATAGTTATGATTAGTTATACACATATCGGCAAAAAAATTAATTATCTAAATTAACTTTTGGTCTTGATAATTCGTATTTTGAAATTTGTTTCCGAATTTTCAAATTATTTCAACTATTCAAGATATTTTTGTAAGAAAAAAGAAATTAAATTAAACATAAAATTTCACTTAATTTGTAGAATCGTAATTTATATTTTCATTTTTACTTTTTTTATCAATTCATAATAAAAATTACGTGTGCATTTTCAGTTAATTAATAAGAAAAATCATTTTTGAAATATTATTAACTAAATACAAATTAATACGTAATTACGTGCGTACCATACCGTGATGCCAAGTCATTCGGATCCAAATAACATGGGAATACAATAAAGTTCCTACCCTTCACTGCATTTTAACCACTTTAAGATGAAATTCGTCCAAATTATCGATGTGTTGCGGAAAAGTCTGAATCCAATGATTGAAAGAATTGTGGAAATTATAGTATAAAACGATAATTAATCTACATTTGGCAACGTGGCAACACTTTTATCATACACAGGGAAAATAAATCGATAATTGTGTAAATAACTGATTAATTTTTTCTTTTGCACTATACAGGTCATTGAAAATAATACAATTTTCATATAGAACTGGTTGTAATGTGTGAATACCCTGTATAATCTCATGCTTTTTAGTATTGTTATGAGAAAAGCGAGGACAATAAAAATATAAAATAATATACAGGGTGTCCCATTTAAAATACCTAACTTTGATTTGTATCACTTCTTGGAAAGCCCTGTATAGTTGAAATTATTTTTAAATTGTTGTTTTTTGATATACATCTTGAGGAAAACAGATTTAAAAAAAATTAAAGATTTGGCTTCATAATCCTAGGCGTTACCGGTGGCGCAATCTGTATACAATCTATCGACGCGTGATATTAAGAACATAGTATCATCGTGCGAAATATAAAATAATACACTCATTTAAAAAACTTACCTTTGATTTATATCATTTTCTTGGAGAACCCTGTATAATTAAAATTATTTTTAAATTGTCCTCTTTTCTGATATACATCTTGCGGTGAAAGCAAATTTAAAAAAAAATAAATAGATTTGGCTCCACAGGCAGAGGCGTTACCGGTGACCCACCCTGTATACAATACATTAACATCTGATTTTAAGAACATTGTATCATCGTGAGAAATATACAATATAAAGGGCGTCCCATTTAAATAAAACCTAACTTTCATTTGTATCAATTTTTTGGAAAACCCTGTATAATTAAAATTTTAAATTTATAATTGGATGGAGTTGCAAAATCGTCAAGTTTCGATTCATTTGGCACTTTATCTTATCACGAGTTTAAAAAAATGTTAGAATTACAATTAAAATTCTTTACTTTGAATGTCTCTACTTACTGACCTATTACATGATACAAGCCATTCAATAAAATTTAAAAACAAGAAATAATTTGAAGTAATCCAGCGGTACCAAAATATTTTTTTTTTTACTTGAGGGAACGAACAAACGTACTACTTTTTCTTGAAACCCACACATACCGCTTTTTGGCTTTGGAGGGCAGCACATTAGTTTACCGAAATTCTACCTTTACAACAAAAATTGACAGCAAGTTTTAATGAAACGTGTATAAAAGTATGATGAGAAGATAGAAAAAAAAAAATTAATTAATAAAACGTTTTAAGTAAGAATTTGGAATGAATATAAGTTTTGAGTTGATGTTTACCGTTTGCTATATTAACTTTAAATATTACTATGTTGACGAAATTTGGGAATGGGATGAATAGTCAGTCAAGCTTTGTAATTGATACAATTTAGCATCTCGGCGTTGTTCTGCATTTTAATTAATAAAACTCGTTGTTTTTGGACTTGTAAACATTTGTTTTCTTGGATATACTTACATAAAGCTTCTTTTCCTATAATTAATAAAATAAATTTATTATACTTACCATTATTGTTACCAGATTGCTGAGAAGGTGGAGTGCCCCATCCAGAAGTACCAGTACTAAGAGAGCTTTCGCCTCCTCCCCGAAGTCTCAAAGGCGATGATAGCTCCCTACAATTGGAGTAATTTGTGCAGGTATGAGTTCCAGGCTTTAAGTTACCCTCATGGTCTTTTTTGTCGTTGTTATCGCAGTTTTTTGTATCGTATTTAGTGGTTATCAGTACATTAAGGTCATTGTGTAGTTCGAGGTCATCAGACTTTTGATTGGGAATGTCTCGTCCAGGGAGTAAAGCACCAAACTTACTAACTAACTTAAAGCTATTATTGTGGGTGACCATGCCATGGTCTATACGTTGCATATTTGGTACGGTAACAGAGTTCAGAAGACAATTTTCGGTCACAGACTGCATTCTAATATTAGAGTTGTCAATTGAATGACAACTTGAGCCAGATATCACAGATAAAGCGCCATTAATGGCGCTGGGGGTACTACTTGGGGGATCGGCTCGACCCCCCCAAGCTGTCCCTGCAACTTGTACTGGGGGTGCGCTGCCCCTTATGGCTGACATTTGAGGCACTTGGTAGGTAGGAAATATAGACTTCGGCTCGGAGGGGGTAGGGGCGCGCATCTTCAACAGTGCTCCATATCAGTCTGGCCAGCCAGAGATCTGAAACAACAGGCCAAATCAGAAAATTTATAAATAATTAACAAAGTATCCACAAAGTGATTAGACCAAAATTTTCCAAAATTGGTGTGCAACATTATACATTATAGTTCCCTGTTATTTGTTTTGAGTTAATTTAAATAGGATTTTATTGTTTGGTGACTTATTAGTATTATTTAACTTTACAGATGTTAAAAATCTTTTCAATGAAACTACTGCCATAGTTACTCCAGAAAAATAAGAAACTGTGTTCAATGGGGGTTAAGAAAGGGGGATGGTTAAAAATTAAAAAAAAAAAAATAGAAATTAAAAATAGAAATTAAAAACGATATCAACATGAAATTTTTATTAAAACCCAAGGTCTATAAGGGGGCGTCCATTAATTACGTGAGGTATTTTTGAGGATTTTTTGACCCCCTCTCCCCCCTGGTGAGATTTCGTAAGATTTTCCTCAACTCCCTCCCCCCTCCCCTATCTCGTGAGATTTTTCAAAATTTGTGTTTTGGGTGTATATGCGTTAAATTATTAAAAAAACAAACACAATATGTTTTATTACTTTTATTTAAGACTAAAAATTTCTAGAAACATTCTTTAATTTAATTTTCACGCAATTTTACAGTTTTCTACTAGAAAAAAAAAATACGTCAGATTTACAAAGACCCCCCAAGTGAGATTTGGAAAGATTTAGCTTGATCCCCTCCCCCCTTGAACACCTCACGTAATTAATGGACGCCCCCTAAGAGAATTAAGCCCACTGATTGTGAAAAAAAAAAAAAAAAATATATATATATATATAAGAGAGTTGATAATCGTTGCTGACTAGTTAATAATTAAACCAGTAATTTGTGGGTAATGCAGCAAATGAAAGATTACTTTTTTAAGTTTATTATTGGTTTAATTATATATATATATATAAAAAAAAATATATATATATATAAAAAAAAATATATATATATATAAAAAAAAATATATATATATATAAAAAAAAATATATATATATATAAAAAAAAAATATATATATATATAAAAAAAAATATATATATATATAAAAAAAAATATATATATATATAAAAAAAAATATATATATAAAAAAAATATATATATATATATACAGGGTGGCTCACGCTCAACGGGACGGAGCTTTATGGGAAAACGACCAAAGATATAAAAAATTCGTTTGGGAGGAATACGTAGGTTACAGACGGCTACAATTTAAAATTTGTTAGATTTACACAGGATGTCCCACATAAGAAAAAAAAAATTAGTTCATTAAAAATTATTCAAACAAGAGTAAACAATTAATTTCTGGGAGACTTTTTTTCCTTAAAAATTCAAATAAATCGAAAACTAATAATAATAGTAATAGGGAACCTTTAGTTAACTGACATTATTTTTGATGTAGTTTTTAATTCTAAAATAAAAAACAGGGTGTTCCATTAAAAATAATATAACTTTGTATATTTTCTCTTATGTGGGACATCCTGTATACATCTAACAAATTTTAAATTGTAGCCGTCTGTAACCTACGTATTCCTCCCAAACGAATTTTTTATAGCTTTGGTCGTTTTCCCATAAAGCTCCGTCCCGTTGAGCGTGAGCCACCCTGTATATATATAAAAAAAATCTTTTCGATTTTCCAAATTTTGAGATAATGCAATATTTATTTATCCTTTTTGAAGGTCTCTTAAAAACAAATTCAACCCCGTAAACCTCATCTTCCTACTTCAAATAGAAGCTGAGATATTTAACAAAAAATCTGGTATTTCTTTAAAAAAGACCACTGGACATATTTCAGTGTTTGGCTTTCGTTTTTTGTAAATGTCTCAAAAACTATTTGACTTTTCCAAATTTGAGAAGAGATTCAAAAATAGGAGGAAATTTCCTACCAAAAAGTCCTACCTCCCGGAAATGTAAAACCAATATTTATAATTTTCCCAGAGGGTTGAAAATACGGCCGAAAACGAAGACTGACTTGCGTAAGTTCCGCCCACTGTGGACCTTTAATGATTAAATATTATTTAAACTTATTAAATATGAACATTACTGACTGAAAAATTCAGGTGTCTGCTAGAGAGATAAATGAACAATAATCCGAGGTCAAATAATTTTTATCGCGATTTTTCTATTAATTATGCACTAATTAATTAACATTTTTTTCCAACTTGAACATTGTAAGAGCGATAATTGTTAAATAACAAATCTGAGATTTTTTCCTTTTTTGGAGCAAGTTTTGAATGGTCTCAGAAGAGATTCCCGTTGGAAATATTAAAAAAATATTATTTTTCACAATTTACTTAAGTTAAAAATTAAAAATCATTGAAAATTTATTTTTTCTTAGAATATTTATTTATAAAAAAGAATATCAGGAAATTTAGTTGCTAAAGGTAAATAAAGAATTGGATAAAAATATAAATAAAATTTTTTTCTCAAAAAATAATACATTTGAGGGATTGTTTGGTGACAGAAACAATATTATTAATTTTACTATTGTAATAATTGCATTTTATTTCACAAAGTAATGTAATGTTATGCCGTCGCGAAGTCAGTTTCGTCCTGGTCTACCTGCAGTGTTCTCAAAACTAGCCAGCCTTACCCAGGTAAAACCCCCGTTGGGTTCTGTCAGTATTATAATAAATTATATTTGAATTGCTATTTGATTGGTACTTAAATAATAAAACTTTACAAGCACCTATCGTTTCGGGAATCCCTAGATAAGCTGACTAGTTTGAATATAACCTACAGGATGTTTTCTTGACTGCCACAACATTGTTTTTGTTTCATCATGTAGAAAAATAAAAAAAATTGTTTATTAAACAATGTAAATTTTTTTTTTTTTTTTTAGTTATCAAAGAACAAGATTAATTATAATTTTACAAAAATGGGATGAGGGGGTCAAATAAATTCAATTCTATTAAAAATTAATTTGTCTATGAAGTCAATTGGTCATTGAAATAAAATTAGTGCCAAATTGTTAAAAACTATAAAATACAACTTAAGAAAATTAAGAAAATACCTTAGGAAGAGGATGAGAGGGTCAAATTAAATAAAAATCTATTTAAAAATTAATTTGCTTATGAAGTCAATTGGGCATTGAAATAAAATTAGTGCCAAATTGTTAAAAACCATTAAATACACCCTAAAAAAATAAAATCACTTATTAAGGGGACGAGGGGTTCAAATTAAATAAAATTCTATTTAAAAGTAATTTTCCTATGAAGACAATTGGGTATTGAAATAAAATTAGTGCCAATTTGTTAAAAATCATTAAATATATCCTTAAAAAATTAACAAAATCACTTGAGAAGGGATTGAGGGGTCAAATTAAAAAAAAAATCCATTAAAAATCTATTTAAAAATTAATTTGCCTATGAAGTCAATTGGACATTGAAATAAAATTAGTTCTAAGTTGTTAAAAACTATAAAATACAACCTAAAAAAATAACAAAATCACTTAGGAAGGGGATAAGGGGGTTAAATTAAATAAAAATCTATTTAAAAATTAATTTGCTTATGAAGTCAATTAGGCATTGAAATAAAATTAGTGCCAAATTGTTAAAAACCATTAAATACACCCTAAAAAAGAAAATAACTTATTAAGGGGATGAGGGGGTCAAATTAAATAAAATTCTATTAAAAATCTATTTAAAAATTAATTTGCCTATGAAGACAATTGTGTATTAAAATAAAATTAGTGTCAATTTGTTAAAAACCATTAAATACATCCTAAAAATTAACAAAATCACTTAGGAAGGGATTAAATTAAATAAAATTCCATTAAAAATCTATTTAAAAATTCATTTTCCTATAAAGTCAATTGGGCATTGAAATAAAATTAGTGCCAAATTGTTAAAAACCATTAAATACACCCTAAAAAAGAAAATCACTTATTAAGGGGATGAGGGGTTCAAATTAAATAAAATTCTATTAAAAATCTATTTAAAAATTAATTTGATTATAGCCAATTGGACATTAAAATAAAATTAGTGCCAAATTGTTAAAAACTATAAAATAAAACTTAGGAAGGGAACAAGGAGGTCAAATTAAATAAAATTTTATTAAAAAATAATATATATTTATTTTTTTATGTACCTATCTCCGATAACAGGGTAAGAAATGAAAAGTTATTTATATAAACACCTAAATGTCCATTTTCACCACTGGTCATTAAGGAATAAGCAAAGAATATAATGACATTTTTCCATCGACAATGTCATTTTAAGCTTTGCTTATTTCTTAACTACTAGTAGTGCAAATTATCCTTAGAGGAATAAGCTTGTTGCATTTTGGGCCTCGAATTTGAAAATATAAGGTATAAAGATTTGTTTTTGTCTTTAATGTAAAACATTAATGACAGCTCTCTACCCCAGCTTTAAGCAACATTTTTACACATTTCTTTAAAAGACATTTACTACTATTCTCTGTATTTGTGATTTGACAGTGATACCTACAAAAATTAAATAAAAAGTAATTTAATAACAATTTAAGTTTCTTAATTTGAAAATAACTACTTATCTAAATAGAGTGTTTACTTCAAACCTATTAAAGAATCTATTATATACAAGTCAAACACCTCTCCCCTATTTAAATTTACTCAGTTAAATTATTTAACAGATAATCCAAAATACTGCAGTAATACATGTAAAATGTAAAGTAATATATTTACTACATATTCTAACTATGTACACAAATAATTTTATTTTGACCGCCTACACATTCACAATAATTAACCCACACTTCAACTTCAAATGAAAACAAATACCTAGGTGGGTACCTCCATTTTTTTTTCCTGAAATGATTAAAAATAGTTTACTCCCATAACTAATTCTAAAAAAATTATTAAATGGATATGGACATAAAGCATTTCGGTAGGCAAATCTAAAATCTAATTTAATACAAAGTCAATATTGCTTGAAGTACTTTATAATTAGGTAACCAATAAAATCAGACAGTGTGTTTCTTTGTATATTATCATATTTCTAGGCACTTTAAATGTTATAAACTCTTTAACTATTTTTGTAAGATGTTATATACTTTTGAGGCCAGAATAAAACTTTATTAGGTATCCAGCAGCTCATATTACCTGCCTATTGTGGATAGATTTATACCTACGTAATAAACCAATTCACGGTCAAATAGGGCAGAATCAACGACAACTTGTAATCTGATATAAAATCATCTTTAGAATCGACAAAATTACATAAATTAATAACGTATATATTATAGATGGTAAGTGCAACTATATACCTAAAATGATTTTAATTATAAACTTACACACAAATATGGACGCCAGGAGACCAACCAGCGAAACTTGTGCTAACGGGAGGCATTAAAATGTTTTACAAACACGCAAGTCCGTATCGAATGCACTTTATATGTTCACAGATAGAGAGTTAGTGTTTATATCACACAATACGAATGAGAATACTTAATATCACAATTTTTTTAAAAATTTGGCGTTAAATACATGTATTTTGCGGCACCACAAACTTTATTTCGACTTATTGATCCGTCATTACGTGGCAGCGTTGCTCGCTAAAAACCAACAACGATGAATGACCGATCTGGCACGACCGAGATCCGAATGACAAAACCGACTGGTTTGCTATCTCCGGCTCGGTAGGCGACAGTTGGCCTCGACCTGTTTTGCAACGTTGCCGGATCGATTCACTGCATATTTTTCACATAAAAAAAAATAAATTGGAACGGGTTTGTTTTTGATTTTGCAAATAAAAAGTGTAACTACGAATTATAATGAACAATTAAATCATAATTATTTATTAACGATAATGAGAAGAGTTTAAATGAATGATTTTAAATATGAGTAGTTATATTTTTTAATGTTCTCTAATCAATCTAATATACCTACCTATTTCCGAATTATAAAAACTAGTGACAATCTATTAGTTTCTGAAAATATTTATATAAATACAAACGATCTTCTTGAAAAATATTTGAATCACTAGAACAATAACCTACTTAGGTACCTATATAGGTAAATTCCTTATGTGCTTAGAGTAAGAATATCGATCACAAACGATCAATATCTACTCCTTCCTATGTATTATGTATATTATAAATGTACAGTATTTTCCAGATTGGTATTTGACTTCATTAATTATCTTTTTGGTAAATCTGTATGGGTCGCAAGTTCCCAGTTTTAAAAAAACCCACCTATTCCCCAATTTCGATTGCGGTCAACGATACTTGGCCTCTTCTAAATGGTATTTAAAATTATTTTATCATTGAGTTATGTAAATTCCAATTTAGGTACCACAAATTAAAGTATGACATATATAGAGTATTCCAGAAACTCCTGACGTATCAAAGTGAAATAAAAAAGACCTGTATTTTATTTTATGTTTCGATTTTGCTACGTTTGAAATGTACCTACTCGAGTAGAGCGATATTTTTTGGTCACGTGACATCGAGGAAACCATATCAATGGAGCAAACTGAGCTTGGATGTATTAAAAACTGAATTTTATATGCCTATTTAAGCAAGATTTAACTAATTTTTAGCATGCTGAATATCCTCGTGAATATCTGACAAAACATTTTATAATTGCTGGAAGCATTTAAAAATTTAAAACATGCCAATTTTTCCATTAAAAAAAAAACTGTTGTATTATTGGAGATAGATTAGTCTTTACACCTATTTTCATATTTTAAATGATGTTAAAAACTACAAAGACGCCTCTATTGAAACATAAAAAGGTAAATGTTATTAAAATATATGTAGAAATGTAAATAATAAAAAACCTTTCAATATGACCTCAAAATGACAACTCCTGAATGGGGGGTTGGGGTTAGTCATATAGAAAATTAAAACCTACACAAAAAAGTTATGTTCGCGTTTGACCTAAAACTCTCAAAATGACAGCTGATTGCCGTATCTTGAGCAGTTTGGGAAAAAAATTAAAACATTGACAAATGAATTTTGATATTTTTAATTAGTACACTTAACAAAGTGAAACTCTTTAAACTGAATGAACCATCTTTCTGTTCATGCTAAAGTTAATGATGATCTATTGTGCCCCCTTCTGTTACTAATGCAGCAAGGAAATATCCTGATGCCTATAATGACCCTTCCAATTCTATCTTTCCAAATGCAGGATGTGGAGTGGTCTCTACTTAGGTTAATCTCCCTCTTCTAGCTTATATGATCCTAGGTATATTGCCCTTGGATTCTGGGGTGCTACACATTCAGTCAGAATGTGAATGGAGGTTTTGTGTTACTTCTCACATGAGAAATATCAGTTTCAACAAATACTAAATAATTTCTGCAATTTATCATTTTGCTTTTTTGTATTTGGTTATAGTTCTTATATAATCATTTTTTAATGAAATAATTTGGCTATTTTCTATGAGCGTTTGATGTTTATTTATGGTTTTATATTGAAAATTATTGGATTTAAAGAAATTCCAAAGAGTTGTTTCCAAACAAAAGAGAATTTTTTGAGTCACGTACATAATAATTAAGTTATTATGTGGGTAGAAAAAAGGCCAGTACAGAGGAAAAATGTCCCGTTTGTGCTGTTTTTATGGAAACGAACTGTGAAGTCACTAAAGTCAAAAAGGTGGATGTTTAAAACTTACGATTTAGATACACATTTGAATTTAATCTACCTATGGCATAGGATCAATTCATTCTTCACAATTAAAGTTTCCTAATGGTCTAAGAACAGCTTTATACCATTTAATTAAGTTTATTAGCATTTTTTTTAATGTTTTTATTCTTTTTAACTAGCACAGGCAGGAAAAGAACCGATACACAGCTGCCATTCTCAAGTAACCCACTACCGACCAGTAACTGGCAATGTATGAAGATTGGTTGATCTTGCCAGCACTGTATAAAAGTTAGCAAGAAATTTGCAACACCCTGTATTTAATAATATCAATATACTAATTAATTATACTTAGGAGTTTGTCATTTATGATTAGGAGAATTATTTTTTTAATAATATAGCAAGTATTTTTTATTCTCTACGAATGAAAATAATGAATCAAATACCATTGAGAACGTGAACATTCTAGAGGCCAGAGGACAACCTAATTGGTAAAATGATTAATATCTAAGGATACGAACAATATGATTATGTTGAACTCATAAATTCTTTTTACTCTACAAAATAACATGTTTATTATACCTAATTACACTTTGTATCAAAACACGAGATGAAGTTAAAAATAAAATGGAGTTGAGAGTAGGTATCCAACTATGGTAAAAATTCTAAATTATAATTTAGACAACTGTACGAACATTTATGTAAATATGTCTGTTCCATAACTTACCTATAATCAAAGATGTTTTCCAATTAAATGTACACAAATATCACTTAAAAATCACATTAGCTCAAAGAGTAGAATCTCAAAATAGTAAATAAACCAATAAGGATAAACTCGTTTTCAAGTTAATAATTTACAATTTTCGATTTGTTATTGGTTACTGATCTGGTTAGTAACCAGTTGCTTCTGACCAGTTTGACCTCAGCTGAAGGTCAGGAAAGAGGAATTCTCTGCAAATGGGGGACTAGTGGTTCCGGCCTCCAGTGGCGTACTCTCAAAAGCATTTAAAGAAATATATATTTGCCATTCCATAAATCAAACTCCATAAGCTGGTGGATTAGACCTTAGACTTATGTCTAGTCTAAGGATCAGACAATAACAATGTGAAATAGAAAATGGTTATTATAAATACTTCCGAGTAACAAGCATTCTACCCCATTCCAGGGGGGCTATTTTCAAACTCGAGAGAATTCATTTCTCTCAAGAGAAATGTCATACGTCAACGTAAAATCGTATTTTTAGGGCTCTTAGGGCCAGTGTGAACTCACTGACTGTTTCTCTCGGTTTATTTAGAGAGAATTAAAATCTTCCTAAGAATTTTAATCCTCGATGCCTTTAAAAACAACATTTCCTCATTGACGTATGACATTTCTGATGAGAATCTTGAGAGAAATGAGTGCTCCCATACTTTGAAAATAGCCCCTGTTCATTGGTGGTATATAAAGTGAATTTAGAGATGGGTAGTAACAAATTTGTAAATGTACATAACAGTTATGGACCTGCTACTGTCCATCTCTAAATTCCAGTGCAACACCAATGAACTGGAGTGGGGTAGAATGCTTGTCAATAGGCTTGAGATGCGACTCTATGGGCGAAGACAGGTTATTTTTCATCTCACTCGGGAGTATTTATAACAACCATTTTCTATTTCACTTTGTTATTGTCTCATCCACCAGCTTATGTATTGATACAATATGCACATTGGTTTTCTACCCCACTCCAGTTCATTGTGCAACACCCAAACGACTTGGAAATCTAGAGAAGTTGTAACCGAACTTCGATTTATGTCTTAGCCAAGTCCGACTCAGCTGAAATCTGTTTAAAAAATATGGGCCTCAGAGTTCCAATTTCTGTTCCTGTTCTACCTATCTGTATAAAGTGCAACGTGGTGCAAGGTATATGCATTTTCAACGAACGCACCTTTCAACAAATTTTTTTCGGATGAATGATGAATGTCAGGTGTCATCTGTCAAGCTTGTCATTGTCAACAAAGGTCCTGTTTGTGGCTGTAATCCTGTTTATTTATGGGTTAGTATTTTTTTTTATTATTTTAATTCTAAAATAATTTATTTTTCTATATTACGAAATTTGGATGAGGTAGATTTAAACAATAACCAGTTTAGAAAATGTATATATTTTTTTGTGCAGTTTATGTCCTTCAAACATACGAAATAAGTACAGACATACTTTTATAGTGCTGTTTAATTTTAACTTCTAAGAAAATATTTTTAGACAGCTTGCTGGTTATTCCATAGCATTGTGTTAACTGTTAAATATAGGAAGATTCCAGATGATTCTTTTGGCTACTAGAACCATTAATTTTTATATATAGTGGTAATATTTTGTCTTAATTCAGTGAAAAAAATTTATATTTACAGGATGTCCTTTCCCAGGTCTTCTTACGTAAGTGAATTTCGTTTTGTTTTACTTTTAAAAACTACTAACTTTTATGACGAAGTTTTAAAGCACGGTTTTACACTTATTTTTAGCATTTTTGCTTAATAACTACTGTTCAGTATGACTCCAAATTACGTTACAGAAAATTATTCTAATTGGCTAAATAAACGATTTAAAACCCAATATCCAAGTAATTTTGCTTCAGATTTCACGTAAAAAATAACCTATTTTCTGGCAACTAGTTAAATTATTTATTCTTTGCTGTATCTTAATACTTTGATGCATCTGAGTAATTATATTTTACTATTGTGAATTACCTTTGTGTTTAATCTAAAATAAAAACATACTCCTATGAGAGGAACCCAACTATAAAGTGTGAAGATTTTCTCGGTTCAAACCCTTTATAAATAATATGTTTTTTAAAGCAATAACTCAAATACCATCTTATTTTATCCAAGCCAAATAGAACACTATCCCAATCCCAGATTTATTGGTTTGTTGCAGAATCTTTTATTGGTAAGAAAGTCATGGTTTTAATGTGATGCTGCTTTGTGGTTTGTTATTTAGCATTAAGATGAACTGATCTAATTTGTATTACATTTGGCTTGCATGTATTCAAATCATTTCATTACTTTTTTTAGTTATTTATTTATTATGTTTACTAGTACTTCTAATATTTAATCCATAGTTTAAATAATGTATATACAAAGTGGGGCACCACATACCTTTCATTATTTTTCTTAATAAATATGCCAAAAGGTCAATGCTTTTTGAGCATTTCATATATGGTGCACCACACTGTCTAATACACATAATAATGGTACATGGAAGGTAGTTTGATTCAGAATATGATTCAATTAAACAACACTATTTTGAATTCCTTCTTTAAAGGCCTTATTTCTGAGAAGTGCTGCCATCTGAATTTGTACTTTTTAGTATTGCATATATAGAGGACTTACATTTGCTACTCAAAATTAGCCCATTTGCTGGATGTGGAGAATATTTTTGGAATATAATGAAAGAACTGTTACCTAAAAAATTATAAACAAAAGGACTAGAAATTGAAATAAATGGCTGCTCAAAATATCTTAATAAATGGTCATTGATTCTTTTATATAACAGTATACTTTTGTCTTATTTCACTTAGTGTGCCATTTACTTAATTAGAATGAAATCAACAGACTTTAAAAATTACAAAATAGAGCAATGATGATATTATTATGTGATAAAAGGACAAATATATTATGGATGTTAACAAAATTTACAATTAACTTTTTATTTGCTTAATTTTAACATTCATTTATAATATTGAACATGGAGTAGTTACCTTTTATTTTCTTGATAAAATCAATTAAAACTTTGACTATTATAATTATAACACAAGAAATAGATCTGATTTTCCACAAGTTGCAAGGTAACAGTGCCAAAATTCATATTTTTTAAGGGACTTCAAGTTTTAATGAGTTATCCTTAACACTCAGAAATGTTGCCTCATTTAATACCTTTAAATATAAAGAGATTATAAGTTAATGAGCAGTATCTGTGATATTTTAGTGTTTATTTTGTTATAATTTGTTTTATATTTTAGAAATATTTTTTGTAATTTTGTTTAAATGTAATGAGCTATTAGCTTTGCTAAATAAGGGATAAATATATAATATTTTCCAGGTACAAATGTAATATATCCAGATTTATTTAGTATAATCTGTTAAATAAGCAATATTTACTCTAAAATTCCAAATTGACTTTTCCTTCTTACTAGCCAAAATTTTCCTTTTATAATATTTAATTTGTCATAAAATGTATAAAGTTGGTACATATCGATTTTTTTGAGTCATAAGTTATTGTCCTGATGTTAATTGATTTGGAAGAAATTGAGTGAAGATTCTTATATTTCAGGCTGGTTTCCCTTTTAAGTCAGATGCTACTGGAGACGAGTTTCCTTTTAACAGGCGAGGCTCTAGAGATGCAAACTTACAGTCGACACTAGATGACATTGCACAACGACATCCAAAATTTGCTAAACATTTAACTAATTTGAAAAAACCTTTTGGAGATCATTCGAGATTTCCATTTGAAGAGGATGATATAGATTTGGATCAATACATTAAACAATTCTATAATTCTCAAGGTTTGGATAATCCAGAAGAGTTTTATCCTCGAGCAAGCTCACATCAAGAGCAACCAAAACAAAATAATTCAACTTCACCACCTTCTGATTTTCAACCATCTAAGGCTCAACAAGACTGTTCAAAGCAACCCAAAACAGTAGAAAAAGAAGTGAATTCGAATCTTCAACAGAGCAGCACTACAGATTTAGGTCAAAGACAAGAACCTATTGATGACAGAAATCAGAGATCTTCATCAGCACCACCTGGAGGTGATACAAAGAAAAGATTTACCTCTAGTATTAACATACCAATAAACACCCCTCCAGAAAATATGGCCCAACCAAATCCAAATCAACACCAGGATTCAAAACCTGTAGAGAGAATTATTCCAATTCAGATGGAAGGTCGAGATGGCCCAATTATTCCTAAAAATACTCACATACCACAACAAAACCAACCAGCTCAGGCGAGACATGAACAATCCTTTCCTAGGCGAGGTAATTTTTTTTTTTTAATTCATAATCTGTTAATCTGGTAGACATAATTCATTAGAAAGTTTTTAAAATGAAAGTGATAAAAATAGAGAAAGTTATGTTAACATAAGGAGATTGAGAATGATGTATATACTATATACAGTTAGAGAGCTTTCACCTTTACAAAACTGTCATTATAGTTATCATAAAAGGTGTATTATTAATTGATAAAGAATATGATTACAATCCTAAGTCTGTTTCTGTTTTTTTTTTTTTTTGTCAATGTCACTCAATTTTTATTAATATGGCATCTGTCTACTTCTATAACTACTAATAATTAGCTGAGTACATTTAAAAATTAAATTAAATGTTCAAAGTGTATGCCAGTGGCAATAACTAAATCTTTGCTATTAGGGCGTATTGAAATACACTTTAGATTTAAGATAACTTCAAAAGTAAAAATAAAGGGGGGTTAGATCAGGAGATCTTGGTGTCTACTCTATAAATCCTTTTCTATCCATCCCTATATTGAAAAAAATAATATCTAAATAATCGAGCATTATCCACACATGATGTGTCAATCAGTTCATTACAGGATGGATTAAAAATTGTACTTAAAATTTGGTGTTTTTCTCTTTATCTGTTTTTGAGTTTTCTTAAAAATTAAAAATTCTAAATTAGCACTTTTTCTCAAATATCTGAAATACGGTCCATTTTAGAGAGATTATGTATAAGACAAGAATTATAGAGAATGTTATAACAAACAATTTTTATTTGAACAATTTTCTTAAATTTTGAATTTTGCACATATTGTAAAATTTCTCGAATACAGGCCATTTTAGGAAAATTATATAGAGAATAATATGACAAGCAACTTTTGTTTGAGGAATTTTTTTTTAATTTTTCAGGTTTTTCAGATGAACAGTTTAGCAGACAAGGTTTCCCAGAGGAACACTTTAGCAGACACAATGTACCATCACAATTTTCCAGAGAAGAAATACCCATACCCGTTCAAAAAGACACTTCCAAAACTCAACAACAATCATCTCAACAGCATACACATCAAGAACAAGAACCAAGATCAGAACCTCCAAAAGTATCCACTCCTATCCAGCAAATTCAGATGATTAAAGAAGATGTTTCTAAGTTAATGGAACAAGTGGAACAGTTTACTGGAAAAACTAAGGATAAACAGTATATATACTTGGATGAAATGCTGACTAGGAATTTATTGAAACTAGATGACATTGATACTCAAGGTCAGGAAAACATTCGTGTTACTAGAAAAGAAGCAATAAAATGCATCCAAGCTGCGATATCTTTATTAGAAACTAAAGCAACAGGAAATGTAAGCACTAAAACTGAGGTTGACCAACAACAACAACAACAACAACAACCTGAAAAAAGTAACTCAAAACAAGATGATTTGCAAAAGATGGATACCGAATCCTCTAATGAACCCAGTGAAAAAATGGATACCGCCGAAACTAAAGATGAAGCACTAAATTCCGAAACCTGTCAAGAGACGAGAGCAGTTTTAGTTAGTAATCCTCAAAATAACGACGAATCTAACGCTAGCGGTAATTTATCTGATAATAGTGACGGTCAGGAATCAAACGAGAAGAAACTACCGCAATAGTCTTAAATTACTTTTATATATGCAAAATTAATGCTTCGTATTAACCAGTCTAATGCTTTCACGAAATATTTTATTTTACCACAGATTTAGTGAGACTGAATTGTTATCTTGTAGCTTAAACTGCATTATAAATTTTACAGTCCATTTGATTAATATTTTTAACATCTGTGTAAATATTTTATTTAGGTCCAGTACAATGACTGTGATTGTTTAGATTTCTCGTGTTTTAATTTGTTGTCTGTATATATTGTACAATTCTCTGAAATTGTACTTATTAACTGTTAATTAAAGTTGATTTTTCCTATTTGTTAGATGTTATTAATTATTAAAACAAATAATTATTTAGTTAACAACAGCTGATCACACTAGGCACTCAAGGCGACTCAAATAGTTAATCCTGGAGGAGCGCTGACGACGGTCTTATACCGCCACCTTGACTGCCTATGTTCTTTACAATTAACAAAAAGAGCTCAAAGATTGTGTCGCAGAAACGTTGAGTGACCGTTTCTATCCAGAAAACATTACTCCTTTGGCTAATACCGCAACAGGCATTGAATTATATTAAAAGAAACTACAAAATTATTTTCAATTCTTTATTGATCTTACTTACTAAGGATTTCATCTTTATTGGAACTCGTCAGCAAAAGTTGACACTTAAAAATTATTTTTTTTTTGCATTTTGTCAAATTTCTCGAATACTGGGCTATTTTAGGAAAATTTCGTATAAAACAAAAATTATAGAGAATAATATTGCAAACAACTTTTATTTAAAGAATTTTCTTCTCCAAGCGTAAATAACGGATATATTTCATAAAATAGAAAAACGGTCCCCTATAAAGTACCCCCCAGATATTCCGACTATGGAAAAAATTTAATCAGTTCACCGCAGGATGGATTAAAGCTTAAATTTAAAATTTTGTATTTTTCTCTTTATCCATTTTTGAGTTATCTTCAAAAATCCAAATTAGCACTTTTTCTCAAATACGGTCCATTTTAGAGAAATTTTGTATAGGACAAGAATTATAGAGAATGACATAGCAAACAACTTTTATTTAAATAATTTTCTTAAAAATTTGATTTTTTTTTACATTTCGTCAAATTTTTCGATTACGGGCCATTTTAGAAAAATTTGATATATAACAAAAATTATAGAGAATAACATAACAAGCAACTTTTATATAAAAAATTTTCTTTTCCAAGCTTAAATAACATATATTCCATAAAATATAAAAATTACCCCCAATAAAGTACTCCCCAGATGTTCCGACTATGCCCAAAATCTAATCAGATTAAGATTGAAATTGGTTTTTTTCTCTATCCGTTTATGAGTTATCGAGTATACAGACGTCATCACGAAAATAGTCAAAATGGATTCAGGGTACTTTAAAACGTATGAAGCCGCCGTACGAGTGAAATTTGTGCCTTTTTAATACGCTTTAGTATCAGCCTTTTCCCTCAGATCCCCCTTCCGCCACCAATGAATGAAGGTATTTTAAAAATATGTCATTTGGTTTCCCCCTGGTCTTTAAAGAAACGATATTTTTTTTATCTCTCATAATAATTCACGCATATTTAACGTCTTTTCAATAGAGATGAGGACCTATAACAATTTTTGTAGTAATTGCTGCATCCTCATTTTAATAATTTACCTATAAATAATCTTAAATATCAGAATTTTAAAAAATCAGCAGAAAATGTAAATTTCACTCACAGCGGCAACGTAGCCAGAACCACCTAGGAATTTGTAAACACCAAAAAACTGTTTTTAACATAGTCGGCTTTGGGTCTGATGCGCATACTCCACACGTTCCGACCAATTAGAAAACTCCGTGATAGCGTCTAATTTACCAATTGTTTAAAATTTCAAAAATGTCTGAACAAGAAACTATTAGTGATGAGTGATTAGTGAAATATAATGAAATATCTCAAAAAAATAATATACGGTAAGTCTATTTATGCACTTTAACATAAAGTAAAAGAATTTTATCAATAATTCAACTATAGATAATATCTGCGGATGTGCCGTGACACTTTATATACCTATACATACTTAAGTAGATATTATGTTATGCCGGGTTGAATACAACCATTTTAGAATGTAAGCAACTAATAAACTATAATTACTAACTTTAAATCACACGATTTATTTTGGAAAAAGTGTATAGGTAGATATTAGTATGTCAATTTTAAAACTGCATTCCTCAATTTACATTAACCTAAGGTACCTATAGGTACATTTTAGCATTTTTCTTTGTTAAAAACAAACATTTTTAGGGTCAAGTATATATAAAATGAAAGTTTTCCTTTACAAACAGACCCTATAAGAATAAAATATTGACTATTACCCATAATCTTTATAAAATATCCAAATATTTTTCTTATTAATGACTTTTTTTATTGTAACTTGACTACAATAAGTATTTCTTTTTCAGATAGTGCTTCGGTTTTACGTCGTATATTTTTCGTGTAAAGGTAGGAGTATGAATGTATTGAAATAAATAAGTAATAATAGCAAATTTTAAATAGGTATACATAAATATTTAATGAGTAATCAATGTTGTGGATATAAAAACTATATCTAGTCACAGGAATACTCTTTTATAATTATTTTTTTTCATTACATACCTATACTAGGAAGAGGCGTAAACCTATATGGGTACTTTTGATCAAAAATGTAGGTATTTTAGGTACGTAGGGTCTATTTAAAAAACGTTTTTTCGCAGAGAGAATTTCGTCGGTCTAAAGCACACTTATTGTATAATATCCAAAACTTATATTTTGACAATCGTAAATTTAAACTTCAGCGAGTTGTCCACGTTCTCTTGAGTAAAATTATGCTTGAAATTCGTATTGAGATTGAACAATAGGGTGTACTTGTTATATTTATTGATTCTAAGGGGTTTGTGAATACTAATTGAGCATTTGTGTAATAGTTTGAGAGAATGGGACCGGAGATACAATATATGTCTCCTACATTTCAAGGAACAATCATCGTATCTCCCTATTTAAACCTGCTAAACTATATGCGATTTTATGAAGACTTACAGTAAAATAAGTTACTAATAATGTTACAACTTGTGTAAAATAATAATTATCTAGATATTTACTATTATTTTTTATGAATAAAAATCAAAATTCAACCGAATGTATTGATTCATTCTTATAGTAATGTATAAATTTAAATAAAACAACAATAATAGGTACAGTTTTTGAACAGTAGTTGTTAACAGGCTGCTCTTATGTAAACTTATAGTACAATGAACAGTTTAAAAATAAAAAGGCAACAAATCAAATTGAACATAGTCGTCATACAAATTGTATGGATATCAAAACATATTACAAGATCTTCAATCACTATCATTATCAGACCCTGCAGGCAAGAATCGCTTGTTTATAGGTATGGTGGAAACGGGAAATACATTGATTGCAAATTATGGTGCTTATATCATGGAGATACAATTTTTGTGAATTTTGGCAGCTAATTTCTGACAGCCACAAATATTATATGGTGCTTACAACAAATGTGCACTAGAAAGTTTAATTAAATGCCTTAATTTTCAGTTTTAAATTTGAATTTATTGTAGTTTGGTGGGTGTTAGAGCTACAATGTTTATGCCCAATAAAGAAGGCTAAAATGCGATTTAATTGGTACCAAGATCATCACAACATTAAATTTAGAGTTATAATATGTGTGCCTTAGATCGACGATTTACAAAAGTGAGGATTTTTGCTTAACCATTTTCAGATTTTGAATTAAAGTGTGAATTAATCTAATAATTTATAAATAAATATAGAGCAACTTTATTTTTCAGCTAAAATCATATTTTTGCGTTTTACTCGATTTTAAAAATGTTAGTTAACAGACAGCTTAGTTTCTAATTTTTTGTTTTAGGTAAAAAACACTTTTATATCCAAAAACTTTTCATTAAATAAAAAAAGAATAAGAAACAGTATATTATAAATTAATTCGTAAAATTCAAAAAAATATATGAGACACTAAGTATTTTCAAAATGAACAATCATTGATAGGAAATTTTTAAATTTTTGCTAGTTTTTTAGTTTTTTGAGTGTTTGGCATCGTTGATGTTATTATAAAAGCTCAACATTTTTATATTTACATCAACGATTTTGTTTGGGATCATTCCCTTCCTCTCTGACAATAAAGACATTTAATTCACGCTATTTATGTCTTTTGAAATCATTTATTAAGAGGTTACATCTTTTAGAAGATGTATTAGCTCTATAATAATTAATTTATGATGTAAATTCGTGGATCAAATGGACAAGGCTGGCAGCAAATAACACCCGGTGATATCTCGTACAGTTATTAAACTTCCTTCAATCAATCACAGATACAAACTTTAAATTCTTCTTTGATTTTGGAATGTTAATAAATTGTAGAGTATCTAGGGGTTGTTATTAGAGGTAAGGAATGATAGAATGATTGTTGATGCTGGAATGAAATGACGTCGCCGGGAACAGAAGATGTCCTGAGTGTACGAAAATGTCGGGCGATATAAATCGGACAATGGGTGAAATGTAAAGTGAAATGGACCAGTGATTAGCGGGATGAACAAAAGAAGCTTGATTTTATAAGGTGAGTTTTTTTTCAATAGTATAATCTCTATCTCTTTTATTCCGTTTAAAAAATGATAATGTCGCCTTTTTCTATTTTTTAAGACGTCCTTGTCCTAGTAGAAAACACAGTTCTACATTTTTTCAGAAGTTTTCTGGATTTCTGCTTTAATTTATCGTAGTATTAAATTGACTATATAATGGTTTAATTAAAGGTATATCTTTTTTGCTAAAAGTGTCTTTGTCTAGTTCAATATTTTTTAAATAATTAGAGTGAGACATCTTAAAATATGTCACCAATAATGAATCTCACACAAAAATTAATCTTATATTCAAACATTTTCATTACTTATTAGTAAATTTTGAAAAAAAATATGGTAAACCGTTTTAGAAAAGAAATATTTTCTTTATGTCTTTATGTCATTGTTGTACTAGGAAAATTTTGATAAAATCTTTGAACTTAAAATTTGATAAATAATAATAACATTATCATTTCACAAAAAATTATCTCTAAAACTTTTATAAACGTACAAAATTAGAGTATTTTATGTTATAACGTTTATTGAAGAAGAAAAAATCTTTATATTTATATATTTTATTTGTTTTAAGTCCATTATTTTATTCCACAGTGGTTTTTCAGGGTACTTTTTTTGGAACAATATTAGGGT